CATCCACTTACCATCAGGTGGACTGTGTGCTAGTTTGTCACCTTTATTCTATAAAAAAAAATACGTATTAAGGCCTCGCGGCGGACTCGTTTCTGGGTAAAAACCTTTTTTTTAAAAACAGAGTGTACCTATGCCTAGTTAAGGGACTTATATCGTCTGTTTCTTTTCTACTTTTTACATAATTTGAATTGTAATCTCTTCATAGCAGTATCTTTGAGTAAATACTTGAACAATTTGAGAAACCATTAAGGTGTGTAATCAAGTCGTGGAGCGATTGTAGAACCCACGGAATATAAAAAATATATTCCGTGGTAGAACCTATAGCATGAATTTACATTTTATTTTTATATTTATATATTAGGTAGGTATTTATATGTACTAGATGGTAAATCAGTATTTAAAATTAAAAACCATTATAATAAAAAAGAAACTAAAACTAGAAACTTATTTATCATATAGTCCTACTCCCCGCAGTATCGTGCCAAGAACGCTAGCCGCGTTTTCCCGCTGAATGGCTATACTTAGCCTTTGAGCGAGAAAAGAACCAGTCCTCTTGTCACCAGCAGCAACGACCAGCCGCGGATGGAGTTCCTTTAAGAACTTCACCGCACGTGGACCCCACGGACCGATAGTCTCTACAGCAAATGGCACAAATATGTAGTCATCTCTCAGAGACTCACATTTGCGCCACTTACTCAGTTCAGCTGCCTCTGATGCCGCCCCGGCTCTAAACGAGGTACCCCTGAGATGAGAGGCCGCCAGAGTGTCTACGCAAGTAGCATCCCCCACTAGGGCTTTATCTCTCTCCCAAGGGCCCAATGTCATACCGTCGGGTCTCCTGCCATCGTCTCTAAATATTCCACAAGGCTCTAAAACCGAGGGAACATTTATAGAGACAAGAGCCCTTCGGATGACATCGTTTAAAGAACTGTGTCGTGAAAACCTACCAGCGCTTTTCTTACATGAAAGTCCGTGGAGCCCAAACTTGTCGACGATGCTACCACAGGGGCATTCATGGGGTTGACAAAGCGCCGTTCCTAGTCGGATTCCTACGACAATACGCAAGCTTTCCCCATCAAGTAATGTGCCGAGATTACTTGATGGTAAAGCGTGTAACCAGTGACTAGATTCCTTAGTCGAAACAGCTAAAAGGCGTGCCTTATCTTATTTAAAATTGCAATTAGCAATTTCATTCGTGCCGGCGGGAATCGAACCCGGTTTGATCGCGTGCTGTGAAAATAACTTTGAAAAAATCTAAATATATTTTATACGTGGTAGAGCCATGCTGCAGCTATATTAGTAGTATAGTTGTAGCACGAATGGGTCGGCTCGACCGGGGAAGGACCACGCTATCGCAGAATACCAGCAGGGAAACACAGCAGCTTACCGTTGCTGTGTTTCGTATAGCGAGTGTAGAGAACCGGAGACCCTTATTACTGGAAAATGGCATTTCATCTCAGTCCTCACGGGTGACAACGCATCTACATTTTGATTCGCAAACGAGGATAAATGTGGATGTCTATGGGCCACAGCAACCACTTACCTCAGGTGGATTGCTCGTTTGTCAACCTATCCCATAAAAAAATAACGTCACATTAATATCATCATTTCCAGGCGATGTATGTAAAATAAGTTAAGTAAAACACAATCATTTCGTATTTACATGCATATACTAGTCATAGAGATTAGCATATATTAGGTTTTGATATCTTGTTGGGCATCCTGCGCTTTCTCAACATATCTCCAATTGTAGTTGACTGGTTTCGAAGTTACTTGTTTGGTTGCCGACAGCGCATTCAGGTGTAAGATATTTTTTCCACCTGGACTACTACAGCGGCTGGCGTACCACAAGGTGGCGTGTTGTCTCCTCTCCTGTTTGCAATTTTCATTAACTCTATAAGTCATAATTTGTCCTCTTCCTACCACTTGTATGGTGATGATCTCCAAATCTATACTCAATCGTCTCTTGAAGATTTGTGTAAATCAGTTGACACTATTAACGCTGATCTGACTTGTATTTCGAATTGGAGTAAACGTTATGGTTTAACGATTAATCCTAAGAAAACTCAGGCCATTATCATCGGTAGTTCTAGATTAATTGAAAAAATTGACTGGTCTTCCCTACCTCCTATTTTACTAGACTGCACTCAAATCCCTTACAGTAACAAGGTTAAAAACCTGGGTTTGTATCTCGACTCTTGTATGTCTTGGACCTCACAGGTTAATGAGGTTAGTAGAAAAATGTTTGCTGCTTGGAAGAAAATTACGTAATCTACGTAAAGAGCTTACTTTACGTAGATTACGTAATTTTCTTCCAACAGTAACTAAAGTTACGCTCGCCCAGTCTCTACTTCTACCTATCCTTGACTATGCTGACATATGCTATCTTGACATTACCGAGGAGCAGCTTAATAAGCTTGAGCGCATTCAAAATGTATGTATTAGATTCATATTTGGGCTTCGCAAATATGATCATATCTCTGAATTTCGCAAACAGCTCAAATGGCTCCCGATCCGCCTTCACAGGAATACTCACATTCTCTCCACTTTGTATAGCGTGCTGCTTAATCCTTCCACTCCTCATTATTTAAAAGACCGTTTCTAGTATCTTTCCCTTACCCATAATCGGTTCCTTCGATCCTCCGTCAATCTTTCTCTCTCTACTCCTTCGCACTCTTCCTCCTTTAAGAAATCCTTTACTGTAACTGCTGTACGTTTGTGGAACTTTTTACCTCTCCACATTCGTCGTGCTCAATCTCTTCATTCTTTCAAATGTCTTGTTAAATCGTATTACTTAGAACGCTATTAGATAAATCATTTTCCTTTTTCGTACTCTGTTCATTTAATATATTATGTTATATCATACATAATCTTCACTTGTCTTTATTTGTATGTATTTTCATATTTTTTATTTTTATTTTGTACGCCCCCCTCTATTTTTAACTATTGTTTGCATCAGTTCTCTACACTAAGGTTGTCTGGAAGAAATCACTTTCAGAGTGATAAGACCGCCTGTTGTACATTTTCTAATTTAGTTTTAACTGTATTCGTTTTGTTTTGTTTTTTGGTGTACAAAAAAGAGTAAATAAATAAATAATTTATCGCCTTTAATTTTAACTGTTTTTTAATGTTTGGATTTACATCACCTATGGCCTCGGGGGAACTGAGGTGGGAGGTGAGGTGTAGTTGAAACATTCCAAACACAGCTTTTACTGCGAACTATCCTACTCATTTTTCATTTTTCGAAACATGCAACTGACTGTTTGGGTTTTTACAAGTGACTCAGCACCTTGACCCAGCTCTGAGATGAGCCGTTACCGGATTAAGTAATATTATAATATGTAATTATTGCTTGCATTCCTTTAATTTCAGCGACACTTTTTAAATTTAAGATGGGGATTAAATGAAGAGTACCATTAACCAACGAGCATGTATGCGTAAGTATATGGACGTGAAAGAAGCGAGTGAGGTGTCTCAGGATCATGTCCAATGGAAGTTCGTCATCTCTACCTACCCCTTTGGCTAACAGGGGTGAGAGTTTATATTATGTTATTTTATAATTTTTGAAGTTTTATAATATGTTTGTCTATTGTTTTTGGACACGTAGTTTTGTTTTAAATATCGTACATGTACGTTGTTACCTACTTGTAGATGTAACTTAAATAATATTACATTGAACATTTGAAAAACCCCCGAAATGAAAAGAGCTGATAATCTTCTAACGGATAAAAGATTTTCTTGAAGAACTAAGAACAAGTCAGGGAGTTACGATACACACACGCATATACACATCTTAAACATACATAAAACTCTCTGATTGCGTCGGGGTTAATAAAATATATATGGCTTTTAAATTATTTCTACATACTACAAACAACTTTTTCATCAGTAGTTAGCCGAGTATTTCTACCAGTTAAGCTATTTTATTATTACTTTTTAATGACTTTGTTTTTTTTTTAATTTTTAAAAAGTTTATGTTATTTGCGGCCAATCCTTCGTCATTCCTTACATAAAATGAAGTGTACACAAACGAGAACACTTATAAAAAACATATAATATATTATCTAAATATTACATAAGTGCGAAGAGTAATTGATTTATAGAGACAAGTTTGTCATTTATTCGCAGCAATAAATCGATCAAAGTTATCTTTGTTCTATTAAAAGCTCAATTATATGTCTCCTTGTTTACATTGCGATTTGATATTGATATTTAATATATTATGTTCCATTTTTTTTAAATATATTTAAGCTGTTAAATTACATAATTGCTAGTTTTTATTTTTATATACGGGCCAAGAAAAGAAGGCACAAGGACTATGTTGTTAGGTTGGTAGGTGGCTTTCATAAGTTCAATGCTCAGTAATTCGCCACGTGATGAGTCTACGATATTGTCACTCAGCATTTCAAGAAGCTAGGATGACAAACACATATCGCATACACACCACCCAAATGAAAATTCACCTGATGCTAAGGACTATGGACTATGTCTATGGACAACATGTAACGCAACATTAATTTGCTTTGCAATCGAGCCGACCAATTCGTACGGTGAGCAAACTCAGAATTCAAATCCGTCTTTCGACTACTTTCGTCAGCCGCTCCAAGTGCAAGCCTTTTGAGCTTACTAGAAAACTAGTATTACTAATGTTATAATAGCGTTACTAATATTAGTTTTCTAATATCCACAAAAGTCCAAAGACTAATAGCAACGTTGAACGAAATAGTCTTATAATCAAAAAATCTATCGTTTCGATTATTTCATATATTTCAAACCTTGGAAAAAATAGTGGGCGTGGAGAGAAGGAGATGAAGGACAGCTGCATATCCCAGATAATAACACAAAACAATAAAAAAAACTACGGTTTTCAACGCGCTTAAATGTGTGGCAACTTTTGCAAATATACCCCTATGGAGCACTCTAAGGGGGAGGGCCTATGTTCAGCTGACTTGATAGGAATTAATGATGATTTTTTTAATTAATAATTATAATATACTTACATAAAAGACTTCATTAAAATTTTATTCCATGTTAAAATACACAACCAAACTAATTTTAAACGGTTTAAAGCACTTAAAAGTTTTCATTTTTCACAATATAGGTATAATTATAAAGTTATTTTTGATAAAACGTAGCGATTTTACTACACGATTAAATAGTGCTTGTCGATATAATCTTATCGATTACTTATCGATTAATCCACGTTACGCGTGCGCGCATTCAAGGGATACTGGATGCTAACGCAGGGACTGCATCAATTTATCTCAGAGACAGCGGGGCAGAGATTTTAGGGATGTGCCTTATTATCGACATGTAAAAGACAACATGCGTTTTAACGCGTAACATATTTACTCTATTTTTATCTAAATATCTACATTAAGTCAAAGTTAAGAGAATATGAGTATTTTATAGCATAATTAGTTTAGTTGTCATATGCACAAATATGTTCCACAAGTGTGGAAAATTAATGTTTTAAAAATATTTGCAATATGCTGAGCTATATCGGCTGTTAATAAATACGTGTAAACTTTTTTCATTCCTATAGCCTCCCATATATATTGGCAGCGTACATAATTTATATAAACCTTGTTCAAAGCGTAAGATAATCCATCCACCTCATTCCTTCCCGTGGGTATTGTAAGAGTGGGTGTCGTATGGAAAACACCCGAAAAATCTTAAGGTATCCGACAGATGGCGGTATCCACTAACTTGTCAAGATGTAAAATAACCTGAACGGAGCGTCAAAGGTGTGAGAGATCTGGTATTGTAATCGTTAATCCACCTGCCAAACTTGGTGATTAAGGGAAATCCTTCCTATATCGGGGGATGTCCATTTTCAACATTGGACTTTTTAGGGTCTGTTGAAAAAAGAAGGAAAAAGTGAAGTATAAGGAACTTTATGCATGTAGAATTTTGTGTGGGTATGTAAAATAATTAGCATTGTATATTCAAATTTACACCGTTAGTTGGACCGGTGATGTAAGAATATCCACTACACCATATCTTACCGTACGTGTCGTAAGAGACGACAGAGGGAAACAAATCAGTGGACGGGCAACAGAGTTTTCCTAATATTAATCAGAAAATAAATGCGGTTACAAAACGCCTGCTTGGCGTGGCCTCTATAACTTACGAGGCAATCTGTGGAGAGGCCTTTGATGTACTGATGAATGATGAATGAACGACTGCATATTTAAATGTTTGTAGGGTGCCAGAATATATTATCGAAAAATTTAATTACGTGTGCGCAAATTTTATTTCACGGTTATCTTAAATACATTAACAATGTAGTATCCATTCCGCTTGTGTCTAACATTTACAATGTAAATCAATTATATTTCTGATAGCCACTCATTAAATTGTAATTTGACTACACTTGAGGTAATTTTTTTTTTTATAGGATAAGGATGACAAACGAGCACACAGTCCACCTGATGGTAAGTGGTTGCTGCAGTCCATAGACATCTACATCTATCCTCGTTTGCGAATCAAAATGCAGATGCGTTGCCACCCGTGAGGACTAAGATGGAATGCCTCATTTCCAGTAAAAAGGGCCTCCGGCCTTCTGCACTCACCAAGCGAAACGCAGAGGTAAACCTCTACTTCACGCTGGTATTCTGTGAGGTCGTGGTACCACCCCGGTTCGAGCCGGCCCATCCGTGCGACAGCAAACGCTGCCGCGTGGCTCTACCACTGTTGTCTAATTTTTCAATATTAGCACATAAATTTTAGTGACTGGCAGAAACATGAACTCTTTATGACTTTTTAATCCCTGAATTCTTAATTTCATTACACTTAATTAAGAGAAGTGTTTTCATTGTAGCCACATTTATTTAGTACTTTTGTTATAATATAAAACGTTTTTGTTTTTCTTTTATTGTCGCTAAAGTTCTTTGATGCTTAACAAGTGGAATGTAAGTAAAGGCTGTGTAAGTGGGGTAGAAGTAAAGACTGTGTAAGAACCTCCGAAGGAGGCGGAGTTATAGCCCAAATAATATTTTTTTGGTTTATGGCCATTTTGACCTCCTAGGAGTGTAATGAGAACTTTTTTCCCTATTCAACCATGATCCCCATGAAATCCACTACATGATAGGCTATTCAAACTGACTAAACCTAAAGTTCGAGGCACCTCCCCCCCCCCCCAACACAAACCAATGGTTTTATTTTTTTAATTTTTTACTTCTTTACTATATCTTGTCAGTACACAGCTGGACACTGTATCCTAGTGTAGGATGAATTTCCAATTTTTGTCACGCTAAGCAGAAAGATTGACGTTCGTAATATCCGATGTTTCAAACCTTTATCAAGGCCCGGTAACCGATCGGTAATGAAATCTTCTTATATAAGTAGAAGAATCTATAGTAAGAAATTCGTACTATAGCCGCTTATGAAATCCACAGAATGAGTCTTTTTTCAACTTTTTCATTTTACTGTATAATTATTTTTATCGATAATTTATTACGCAATCGATATCATTTTTCAAGCACATCATTAAATAGTGCGTACGTGCATATTTGCACGCAATGACCCTACAAATGCACAATATATCGCTACTATTCTTAAGCTATTAACAGACAAATGTTTGTTAGTATAGTCAAAATAAAGATCAAACAATATTCGTCTTTACTGCAACGCAACGCATGCTTTAAACACTAACAAAGCCTAAATCTATTTGGCAAATCTACAACTTCACTTAAAGCGTGAGTGTTTGAAATAAATTTGGCTTTTATTTAAGAAGACTCTAAGTTCTAATTAACTTGTTTATCTAAAGGCTCTTGTGACATTCCTGCACCGAATTTGAAACTATGTTTAGAGCATCTTGATGCAATTGAACGAACATCACGCATTAATTTGAGCATAATTGCACTAGGCGTTTAAAAATATTAATTCTTAGCCGCATCTTCTGTTACAACCAATTAACTTCAATAAAGTATTTATATTACTCTACTATCAGCGAGGTAAAGTTATTAAAGTTAATAAAATAAGTCGATAGTAATTTGTCTCTTCACTAATGTATAATATGTGAAAGTTACATTTTTTGTATACTCGTTCTTAGCAGTGTAACATTTGCTTATTAACTCGGATGATAATTAATCATAATGAATATGCTTTTTACGTGGTAGAGCCACGCTGCAGCTATAATATGGTTGTATTACGAATGGGTCGGCTCGACCGGGTATGGACACAGAATACCAGCGTGAAGTTGCAACTTAATGCTGTTTTGTTTCGTATGGTAAGTGTAGAGAACCGGAGACCATTTTTACTGGAAACGAGGCATTTCATCTTCAGGAGTGACAACGCATCTGCATTTTGATTCTTAATAGATGATAGATGTAGATGTGTATGGACCACAGCAACCACTTATAGACCTTATTCACGGTCCACCTTGCTGTACGTCCCGCCAAGATCATGCACGACGCACGATGCAAAACGACAATGAGTAGGCTTAACGACGTCAATAATTCTTATTAAAGAAATAAAAAAATAATTGATTGCCGTCAAGCATAATCTTTGTCGTTTGCATCGTTCGTCGTGAATGATATTGGTGGGACGTACAATAAGATGGACCGTGAATAAGGCGTTTTACCATTAGGTGGGCTGTGTCCATGAGTGGATGCTGTGTCTCGTTTGTAACTCTAATTCTATGAAAATTATATAATATATATATAATATATCTCTATATAGCTATAATAATATCTCCTGCACTTCATCAATTACTGTTGCTAACTATATCGTTTGGGAGCGGCAGAGTTTTTAATTACTTAACTAAAGTTGGTTCTAAGTTCTAATCCTGATTTTGAGGAGCGACAGAAATTAACCTCAAAATTTATAAAAATTAAATACCTACTGAAATATTTTTTTTGAATAATTATTACTCACTTGCATTTTTTATCAATGATCTGCAATTTTTTTCAGACACTTATTACCAACAGTAAATACATTTATTAATATAGTGTACACATATAAATTAGTTTATATAACCGTACACTTTACTACAACGGCGCGCGCTCATTGGTCAAATCAAATAGTGCGCGCTTCCCCGGCATCCTGTTACACACTTCCGTCCCTTTTCACGAAATCACTCCCACAGATTGTGGGAAAGCAAGATATATAGAATATAGATTCCTTTTTTGCCTAGTAACATGTTTGGATAGGTACTACCGTCTTACCTAACCCTAACCTTTTCTGGCGCTAAATACCTGTGCTTACACTGCTGTGTTCCTCGTTCGGTACAAGCCGTGAGGGCATTCCATATTATATGTAGATATTTATATATATATTTTTGTATATTTATAAAATATATTTGTGTAATTCATCATCATCATCATCATTATAGCCCTTTACAAGTCCACTGCTGACTTCTGACCATCTAATCCAAGAGCTGAACCCGGACGACATTTTATTCGTATTCTTCTCAGCGAACCCTTTCATTTGATATCCATATCATGGGGGTGAATAAAAAACATAGTATTTATATGATCATCATCATCATCATCATTACAGCCCTTCACAAGTCCACTGCTGAATATAGGCCTCCCCCAAGGAGTGCCCAAAGCACGGTCCTGAGCCATCTGCATCCATCGACTTCCTGCAGGGGACGCGCTATACTTCGTCCGCCGGTACGAGGCCGCCACTCGAGAACCTTTTTTCCCCATCGATTGTCGGTTCTTCGAACTATATGGCCGGCCCATTGCCACATCAGCTTACTAATTCATTGGGCTATGTCGGTCACTCTGGTTCTACTGCGGATATCCTCATTTCTAAGTTTATCACGCAGAGAAACTCTGAGCATAGCCCTCTCCATAGCTCGCTGAGCGACCTTGAGCTTCCTCATCCGGCCAGCAGTGAAAGGCCGCGTCTCAGTTCCATAAGTCATCACTGCTCAGTTCCATATGCAACACGCACTGGTTGTACAGTCTCGTTTTTAAGTTTTGAAGTATACTGACAAGAAGATGTGCCGTAATTTCCCGAACGCTACCCAACCGAGTTGAATCCGTCGACTGACCTTTCGTT